AAAAAAAAAAAAAAGAGTAAAAATTGGATATTATTTTATCAAATGAATTAGATATCATGATTAAGAAGAGTATTGAGTATGATATTTTTCAACAGCAGCCATTCAACAGCTCCCCTCTCTCTTTTGGTGTGTGTGTGTGTGTGTGTGTATATATATATATATATATATATATAATGTAGAGTTACCGTTTTACCCCTTTTAAAATTAGTGAAAACTGTGAAAAGAAGTTGGTTGACCATGGTAAAACGTTATATGAAATTGGATAATTATGGTGAAATAAAATCAAATTGAGTGGTCATGACGACACTAGGTATATAATTGGATGGTCATAGTGAAACAAAATCAAATTAGATAACAATTGTGACACTAAATATAAAGTTGGGTGGTCATTGGTATATTTAATCCTAGTCGCTAGGTTCAAAAATTATTTCTCCAATACAAGTTGACAAGGACTCCATTAAACTAGCTTAGTAAAGAAAAAATAGATGTCTAAAATTTCGTATATGTTCAGAAGTTCTATTATAATATTGACTCAACTTTCAACTTTCCTACTACCATAATAATAATTTATGAAACGCATTTGAGATGTTCTAATAATAAATGTCTAAAAATTTCTTATGCTAAAAAAATAAAAAATTCCAAACATAAAGGTGTTTACCTTCTTACCTTTCTTTAGGAAATTTTAGGATTGGGCTTCCCAGGCTTTTAGGTAATGTGGGTTTAGATAATCATTATTTAAAAAAAATTTTAATCCTCGTACTTATTTTTAATCCCATTTTTCACAATAAAATATCTGACGCACAAATTAAAATTTTTTTTCCTACTTTTAATTCCACATTTTTCAAAAAAATCAGAACTCCATTCTCTTCCAAAGAAAAAACCCATCAAACAGGCTTGGCGACCTTTATTTTCCCTTATTTTTAACCCCGCCCAAGCATGCATGCGCTCGCGTGCGCTACTTCGGTCATTGTTCGTTCGCGTAGAGACACTGCTAATATTTCGAAATTGCAAACCGATCGCATCTCGATGACTCACTCACACAGGTGTAGATCCCTCAGTTGAAGATGTGCGAAGGTAGAGTGGTGGCGCGGCTTCCAACTCCGCCACCACCGCATTTGCACAACTACATAGGTAAGGATGCATCCCATTCCACAGACCATTCGTCTCCTTTTTCCTCTTTCCAATGCCGCTCATTCTTCATTACGTACTCTTATCACTTTTTTTCCTACCTACAAACTCTCAGCTACATCTTTCTTCGACACACTTTCACTGCCATGTCCCTTGCACTCCATTTGTGTTTCTTGAGCTTTTTATTTACCCAATTGGACACAGATGGAGTAAATGCACAAGGGCTACTGCTCGATTTGCAAAACCCAAATCAATGCAAAGAAAAATGTGGGAAAGTTTTGATACCATTCCCGTTTTATGTCAATCAGTCTCACTGTGGGTCACTTTCTAATACTTTTCGCCTCTCTTGTGTTAATTCATCCTCACTTTTCCTCAATATTGGGTTCGCAAGCTACCGGGTGCTCGATTTTTTCCCAGACGGTGTATTAGTGGACTTCCCCAATACCACAATCTGTCGTCAGTACAATGATTTGAAGTCATTTACCTTTTCTGAAAATGAATACTTAGGCATTTCTACTGAAAATGTGCTTGATTTGTATGACTGTGATGATTCGTCTTTATGCAAAGCAGATTGCGAAAAGGGTTTTCTAATGTCAGCTTGTGATGGCAAAGCGGGTGACTATCCTTCTTGCTGTTACCCTCTGTCGGACCATAGTGTTTGGCCCGAAGGAGAATACAGTGATAGCTTCTCTGTTTTTTCACAGTTTGGGTGCAGGGGATTCTCCTCTTGGGTTGCTTTGCCAGGCAGCAAAACCGCCAGGCGTGGTGTTAAGTTAGAATGGGCTGTCCCCAGAAATTCAACCAAAGCAACTTGTGCTGCTAATGCATATGCCCTCAATGCTTCCTCTGTTTTGTCAGGGATGAGATGCCAATGTCAAGATGGATTTGTTGGTGACGGCTTTTCTGCCGGAGCTGGATGTCTCAAATGTGAGTTTTGCCCTTCTTTCTTGGTTAAGTTCTATGTCGAGTGTTACCTTCACAAGTTATTGCATTCCTCTGCATAGTTGATGAAGTGCAAGAAAATATTTAATTAATTAATCAGTGTATGTTGCCAAATCGTCATAATTAGTAATTTAGCAGCATTGCATAATGTGTATAATAGCAACATTTCCATATTGTTTGATCTTTCAATAAGCTTGCAACTTGTAAAAAATTGTGTCCAATTTTTTACTGTTACCTAGAATCAGGCTGCTCCATGTAACCATGTTTGCTCATACCTGTTCTATTTGGTTGAACCCACGAGTGAAGGAGACACATTATGATTCTTTCCAAACACTGCGGGTATACAGACTAACTGACATTGTATCATACATATCAAATTGAATATATTTGTGTAATTGATGTATATCAATTAGAAAATTGTTTACAACCACTTTTCCCAAAAACTATGGCTGATGGGGGAGGCTCAACCAAACCCTTTATCAGAATCCACACCCCAAGCACAATTCCTTTGGGGCAAACCTCTTTACTAAATGAGCCCAACCCCATGTTCAGTGATGCTCGTCTTCACCATGTGACATATTTGGTATTCAGCAACACTATAATGTTGTCACTGTGCTCATTATGTGAAGTAACTGCTTGCTAGAGCAAATGGAATTACTCTGTCATTTTTCATTTGAAGGATGGACTGGATTTTGATTATGAGTTTACAATTATATTTATTTTTTTAAATATGATCTGTACAAGTAATTTCTTTTTTGACAGCCTGCTTCAAGGATGGAAAGAAAGTGTACGGTAATGATTGTTACCCTGTTAACCACAGAAGAAAGAAAGCAGCACTTCTAGCTGGTAAGTAACTTTATAGTTAGCTTTTTCTTTGAATGGATATAATTATTTTCTTCCAGCATGCAACAAATATTGAAGCTTTCCGTATCTGTTTGTGGAAAACAATTAACTTGATGGTTTTTTCTTCATGTAATTCCCAGAAGTCACCATGAACCCTATTATTTTCTTTTGTAACTTCATAAAATCTAAGCACTGAATCTCATAAGTTATGCTCTTTTGATAGAAAGACTTCCTAACATCATTCTGTTATTCAGGAATCTTAACTTCGGCTTTGGCGATTGCATCCTTGACAGCACTTTTTTGTCTTCTGAAATGGCCTATTAAGTCAGATGTATTTATTTCTGATAAGGCCCGCTGTCAAAATACCATTTTATCAAGAAAACCCTGCACGACTAGATTATTTACTTACCACGAGCTTGAGGAAGCCACAAGAGGATTTGAAGATGGGCAGAAAATCGTTGATGGCACTAAGACCACACTGTATGCTGGAATTCTTATAGATGGATTGCACATCGTTGTGCAAATGGTACAGTGTGAGAGCCAAAGAGACCTCATTCAAGTTCTGTCCAGAGTGGAGGCGTTATCTGCCATTTCACACAAGAACTTGGCATGTCTCGTTGGATGGTACATTGATTCTGGATACACTCCCCTGGTGGTTTATGAATATCCTGCAAATGGAACCCTTGAGGAACATTTGCATCAAACACAAGATCAAAAGATAGCTCTCGACTGGTACAAGAGATTGAATATTGCTGCTGAAACTGCGTGTATTCTTGCATTCCTCCATGAAATTTCGCCTCCAATCTTCCACCATAATCTACACTCTGGTTGCATCTTTTTAGATGAGGATTTCTGTGTAAAGCTTGCTGGGTTTGACCTACTCAATGCTGTCCATGAGGATGTTTGCCATTCAAGTGGAAAGTTTGAAGTTTCACATTGCAGGAGGAATGATGTGTATGGCATTGGCCTTGTACTTCTAGAGCTTATCACAGGCACTGCACCATTGAATTTTTCAACAGCTCTGCAGAAGATAAAGAATGGAAAGCTTGAAGAAATTGTGGATCCGAGTCTATACTATCACGAGCAACCACCATTTTGCCGGGAGCAGATAGAGATAATGGCAGACCTCGCAACAAGGTGCTTACTGTTTGGTGCTGATGGCAAACTCAGTATGGTTGATGTAGCCAGGGAGTTGGTGCACATCACAAAAGACAATCTAGATGGGAGTAGGAGGGGTCCTGCACTGGAGGAAACATTTTCCAATTCAAGCCTCCTTCAGATGATATCTCTGTCACCTGACTCTATATATGTTCCGTCAAACAATCTTGCTTCCCAAATCTGAGCCTCCTACGTTGTTATGAGAAGTCTACATGCATGTGTTTAACGGCTTGTATTTGGTTTTCAATTGACTGCTACTAATGTATATCGAGAGTATGTATGAAATTATTGTTAGCCCTTTCATATTTGAATATAGAGAATTGGAGGAACTAAGATTGTTTTCTCATCTGTGTGTTGGTACTCCGTTTTGTTTGTTTCCGTCCTCTCTTTCTCCCTTCTGCCCCTTTAACCTACCTTACTTCGTGTCAAGGACCGCAGCTTCAACTAGCCCATTGACACAATCGTAGTCGCAGTTTGTCCAACTTCGGCCGTACATTGTAAATATTTTATTTCAATTGTAAAATAGCTGTGATATTGGAAAACGTTTAGTATGATTCTTCGGCATTTAAATGTTTACTTCTATCACTTAGGTTTTTGTTCAAAATGCTATTATAGGGGGTATTAGTCTTTCAAACAATTTTTCAAGCTTTCTAGTGTTCGCCCCCTGCACTAGCCATTGTAATTTCTTGTATTTATCAATTGTAATTTCTAGCTTTCAAGCAATCAATGATCAATTTACTTTCAATACATTTCAATTTCATGTTGCAAGTTTTCTCCAAATTGTAATCAAATTGTCTTTTGTCCCAAAACAATCGAGAGAATGGAGAAGGTAGTCTAGCGGAGCAGACTACTGCCGCACGGTGTCCCTTTCTGTGCCAAGAAGAAAGACACCTCGTGAAAACTGGTATCAGAGCTGTGGCTCACGTCCTTTGATAAAAAAACTATGGATCTAATTAATTCGAACACCACGGAGGTGGTTGATCCTCAAAAGAGGAGCACGAAATAGCACGTGGATGCGCTTGAAGTAACAACTACTAGGTTGTGCTATATAGTGGAGTGCCTCGAGGAAAAAGTTAAGGTGGCAGAGACAAAAATTCGTGAATTACACATCCAGCTGGATGAAAGCCGAATGGCTTGCACAGCAATGAATGAAGCTGTTGTTATCCTGCCCGATCTGCAGGATGAAATGGAAGCATTGAGAGCTCAATTACTAGTTCTTCAACGTGCGGTTGGCAACAGGCAAGCTCCCGCACGAGAGTATGTTCCTAAGCTCAGAATTCCAGAACCGTGTACCTACGGAGGGGCACGCGATGCAAATGAAGTCGAGAACTTCTTGTTTGATATGGAACAATACTTTCTTGCGGATTCGATTGAAAATGAAGCAAGAAAGGTGACACAACTACCATGTATCTTGGTGAAGATGCAAAACTATGGTGGTGGACAAAGTATGATGATATTCAGGCCAACAGGTCCGAATAGATTCTTGGGATCTCCTCAAAGAGGCGATCAGATCTCAGTTTTCCCAAAAAATGTGGAATATCTGGCACGACGTACATTACGAGAACTGAAACATAAAAACTCCATCAAGGAGCATGTGAAAGTCTTTTCAGAGCATATGCTGAATATTCGAGACATGTCGAAAAAAGATAAGCTATTCACCTTCATGGAATGGTTGAAACTGTGGACACACACGGAACTTCAGAGATAGAAGGTCACTGATTTGAGTGCGGCCATGGGAACTGCTGAATGCTTAAGTGACTATCAGCCCGAGTCGAGAAAAGATCGACCTTCAGGTAATAGTCAAACTATTGGAGGTGGAAATAAACCTTAAAGACCCAGCTCGAACTCAAATGGGGAGAGCGTTACTCTAATAATAAGGGAGGAGCCTATCAAGGCACCCGTTGAGTAACTTTCAAGGGAATTATCAAAACGGCCGTCAAGGAAACTACAATGGTAGCAACAGTAATAATTGGAATAAAGGAAAAGCTACAGAGGGCCGGTCTGATGCCACTCCTAAATTGATGTGCTTTTTATGTGAATGACTCCATCAGGTGGCTGAGTATCCTCAGAAACGGATGGTGAATGCATACTGTCAACTAGTGAGCAGCGGAATGAGTTCAAAGCAAGATGTCCCGCAAGCTAGTTGTCACGATGAGACCGATTCCGAAGAGGATGAAGATGTAGTTAGTGCATTCTCACATTGGTGCAATACACTATCGCATCGGCCTACAAAAAAAAGGAGAATGTTCCCTCGAAAGAGGTAACAACGGAAGAATCAAAGGCTCGTTGTTTTAGGGCGAAAGACCTAATGTACATTGATGTGAAGATCAATGGAAATCCAATTAGGGCTATGATAGATACCAGTGTTATCCACAACTACTTTGCAAGTCCCGAAGTAAAGCGATTCAGACTTGTTTTGGAAAAAGGTAATGGGAAGGTCAAAGCAATCAACTCCGCTGCTCAACCAATAACGAGGGTAGCGAAATCTATGTCAATCATAGCAGGTCCTTTCGAAGGAAGGACAAATTTGTCGGCAGTTCAGATGGATGACTTCAAGCTTATTTTAGGATTGGAAAGTGGGATTATCGTGC